CCCCTTACAAATGGAGCCCCAAAAAACTTCTTGAAAAGTTAAAAAGTAAAGTTAAAAGGTTCGTAAGCCTCTAAGGTTATGTTGTACCTAACAAATTGTGTTTCTTTCACTCTCAGAGTGTTTGTCACAAATTTCTTATAGAAGCATTTTTATTTTTCTTATAAGGTCTTGTCCTGGATTCTAATAACACACGATCTAAAAATGAGTGAAAATGTCTTAAAATAAGTGTATTCACCCTTAATTTGAGTAGGTAAATAAGTCGCATTTTTTTCCTTAAAATCCGTTTTTTTGATATTATACACTTGAAATAGGAGACTGCTTTCTTTTCCTTATTTTAAATGTACATTTACTTGTTCCATTGGCAAAGTGTGTCGCTTACCTGCTCAATTCAAGAAAAAATGCACTTATTTTAAGAAAAATTGACTGAAATTTCAGTTATTTGCAGTGCACTCTTTGCGTGGAATTTAGATATTTAAAGTTTTTCACTGAGTGCCCTCTAAAGGGTTAAAAAAAATGTTTAAAAAAAAAAAAAAGTCCTGTTGTATTTTGCGGCTCTAAAAACAAGCTTTACTTGGGGCAAAACGGCTCTTTGGATATGAAAGGTTGCAGACCCCCGGTCTAGTCACACTGGAAAAATTATCTAGAAATAAGTAAAAATGTCTTTCATGAAGTGTACTTATCCTTAATTTGAGTAGGTAAATGAGATAGTTTGCCAATGGGTTTAGTATATTTACTCTTAAAATATGATAATTAGATAATATGCACTTGAAATAAGACAATGCAATTGTGTTTTCTTATTTTAAATGTAAATTGTCTTGTTCCACTGACAAGATGTCTCTTTTAGCTCCTCAAACCAAGAACAAATGCACTTATTTTAAGGAAAAATTACTTATTTAGATTTAGATTTTTTTTCCAGTGCAAAGTCCAGACTTACTTCTTTGTTCACTGCAAAAAATGTAAATCTAAGTAAGTAAAATTTTCTTAAAACAAGTGCATTTCTTCTTGAATTGAGCAGGTAAGTAAGACTCTTTGCCAATGAAATAAAACAATTTACATTTAAAATAAGAAAAAAAGACTATAGTCTCTTACTTACTTACAAGCGCATAATATCTAATTTATCTTATTTTAAGGGTAAAAATGCTCATTCCATTGGCAGATCA